TTGGCTTCCTGATAGAAGCAATGAACACCTACGAGGACAATCTGGTCACTGGCCACTAATTCTAGACTTTGTGAAGGACGTTCAGGTACCCGAGGAAGCAACCGGACCATTCGGCTTGAAGCGTTGGGTCACCTGAGACCAGGTGTGCTATTTATTCGTACACGGACCCCAGAAAGTCACATCTTCCCTTGAGGGGACATGGTTTTGCCCAACTTCTCCCAGGTGTGTTAGGAAATAGGAATGAGATGGCCTTCGTCTCTGGGAGCAGGCCGGGCATCTGTGGGCAGCGTCGTCCTCAGCAAGCCAGCCCTGAGCGGAGCACAGCAAACCTGGGGTCCAGAGTCACCCCACGTGTCCTCTCATCAGCTTTTTTCATCAGGAGCCGGCCAGGAACCACAGCAGAGGCACTCACCTGAGGCACAGCCAGGACTGGGCGGGAAGGTGCTCCTCCACATCCTATACGAACCTTCTGGAAGGCTGCTGGCAGTTTTTCCTCCTTTTCCACCACTCTGCTCTTTTTAATGATTGTACATAACCCATGTATTTGTTTTACCTGTTCATCTTCTAAGCTGGGGTGAGGGGTGTGTAGTTTATTCTCATTGTTAGATTTTTTTGCCTTCTTACAAGTGTCCCTGACCTGCAATAAATATTTCCCTCTTCAGAAAAAGCCATCAAGGGTGGCAGAGGTTTCTGTTTCTTGGGAAGGACGTAAGAATCAAGCACCAGATGAGGCCTCCACGGGCGCCAGTGTCTGATCACCAGGTGGAGAGGGAAGCTTGGGAAGAAGGTGAGGAGGTGTCCCTTGGCTGGTTTGTGTGAGCACAGGTGCTCCCCTAGAAAAACAGGCCATCTGTTCACAGTCCAGGAATCGAATCGGTAGCAGGAAGGTCATGCTTCATGGGGGGAGGGGAGCAGGGCAGCCACTCTGTGTGTGGCTCCCATCTCCCTCTCAGGCTGTGCTGGCCACTGTCTGGGCTGCATTCGGCGCCTCGGAAGCTGCAATGCCATCTGCAAGGCTCAGGTTTCTGTACCCTCAGAAGGTCTGCTCACCTGTTGCTCCAGTGACCTTGGTCCTGCCTCTGCCCCCAGCTTCTCGAGGCTTTACAACCCCAGGGCTTGAAATCCTCCTCCTGGCTCTGCATCTTGGTTCTAGTTGCTGAAGAAATGAGCTGAGCTGATAGGCCAGGTGGCATGATCATTTCTGGGCTGGTGCTGACCCCTGATCAGGTCAAGACGCTGGTCATAAAGTGCAGGTGGGTTTCCCAGGCTCACAGCTATAGCAGGGAGAAACTTCAGGAGGAAGGCAGTTTCAGATTAATGAGGCATGGTTCTAGAACATTCTGCCTGTGTCTTCTCACTGACTGGTTAAAGAGCTCCCTTTTTCATAGCTTTCCACAGAGAGTGTTTTTATTCATGCTGAGGAAGAGCCAATGTAGAGGGAGCAGGCCCCCACCCTGCTCAGAGCCCAACAGTTGCTGCCTCCCTCAAGCTGCCAGGCTCACCAACATTTGCTAAAGGACAGCCAGGGCAGCACCAGCCCCTGGTATCAGGAAGAGGGACCCTTCTTGTGCAGTGCCAACCCCCTGCTAGGAGGGAATGCAGACAGGAAGTGGCACAAACCAGACGCAGCAGCACCACCCAGCATCCTTAAGTAGCTGATTCCTTAAAAACCTAGAGAAGGATGAAAAAGGAGCAGAGGAACACGACCAAGGTCACAGAATTGGCAAGGGCCAGAGCCACGATGCATCAATCCCATGATGTTTGGGGGCATCCTGTTTACCCAGAGGCAGCAAGGCCTGGAGGTGAGGGGTCATTTAAGTAGTGGTCCTGCATAACAGTTCTGCCACCACAAGCAGATTGTTCACTTGGCCATTTGTTGAGCAAACATTAAAGGTCTGACTTTGTAGAATCCAAATCAAATACAGAAACTGACCTTGGAGTGGGTGTCTCAAAAGGGAAACGGTGAGCCGCCAAGCCATCAGTGGGCGTCTGCTGGGCTCAGCAATTGGGCAAGTGTCTTATTCTCTCATTCTGTTTCCTCCAATCTCCATATCTTTTCAAAAAGGCTGCCATGACAGAAATATAAGGAATATATGGATTGAATGCATTTGGCAAAACCTCCCAGAATATTGCCTCGGCTCAAATGGAGAAATGTGAATTGGGGGATAGGATAGTTCAGGAAAGACTAGCTGTACTGAAACAGAAATGCCGGTTACTGTTCTCTTGGAGAAAGCCCTAGAGCAGTCACCATCCCATGGAACATAACACAAGTGGCACGTGTTACCATTTTCTAGTATTGCATTAAAAATTTAAAAGAAACAGGTAAAGTTCATTTTCAGAGTATATTTAACCAAGCGGGATGTGCCAGTTCTGTTACATAATTAGCAAGATGTTGCCCTGCTACACTGCTTCATCCTGAAGGTCTGGGAGTGGAGAGTTGGAATGATCCCTGGTTCACTGGGAGTCAGCAAAAGTGCTTCATCTTAAACCGTATCATGAGCACTTGTGCAGATCTGGTGGTAGGAGCTGAGCCCTCCCAGTGTACAGTTCTGTTCTGGGGCCTTGGTGTTTGAGGTGCAAATAAGGCGCCAGTCATCCAAAAGAGGGCAGCAGGATTGGTGAGGGGGCAGAATCCCCGGCAGCCATGGTGGAAAAATCTGCAAGGTATTAGAGAAAACTTGAGGCACATCATTCCATGCCCTCTTGCCACGTAAAGAACTTTTCTGAGCCAGGCATGCTGACGCACTCCTGTAGTCTCAGTGACTCAGGAGGCTAAGGCAGGAGGATTGCAAGTTTGAGATCAACCTAGGCAATTTGGTGAGACCCGTCTTTAAATAGAAAGTCAGATGCGCTGGAGGTGTAGCTCCATGGTAGAGCACTCCTGAGTTCCATCTTCAGTTCTATTCTGTGGAAAGCATGCAGACTTCCTTCAATCTCCCTGGATGGTCAGCCTGAAGTCCAGTAGGAGGCACGAAGGTTCAGCATCGAGAGAGGCATTTTAAGCAAGAGTCTGTAACAGAGTGGGCCAGGGATAGACTCCACTGTTTTCTACAAACTGAAAGCCTGGCTCTTGGAAATGCGTCAGTGTTTGTTGGTAATCACAAAGCCTTCTGTTTGTGGAGTGTTTTATCCTCTCTCGCCTGAGCCACTCATGGCCTGAGAGATGGATACTGGTGACCTATGTAATAAGGTCAAGTCTTGGCCCAGGCAGGAGCTGGGACTTGGGGCTTTTGGCTCCCAGGCAAGTAGCCTGTAATGAGGCTGTTCCTGTGGGTGTCAGAGGTGCCTGGGGGGATCGTATGTGTCATTAGATGGGGTGGGGAGATTTTTTTCTCTGGAGGGAGGTTGGCATGTGTGACCTTGCCTCATCTTGGCAGAGGTCTTTGTTGCTATCTTATGATAAAAGGCCTTGTCCTCAAAGACAGCCGTGGGAAGTGAAGTCTCTCCAGTGTCACATGGTTGAGGGGAAGAAAAGGGTCTATCTGGTACAGAGCCACTCGTTTGCCCCTGTCACGCCCCTTCCCAAACACAGCTTCCATTTGGGCTGGAGCTCGGCTCTTGGGCCTCCCGAGGTCAGCATGGTCTCATCTTGACAGAGGAGTCTGGCAAATCTGGGTTGGACACCTCAGCGCTTAGGTGGAAGTTGGGTCTGAGGACTGTCTCTCAAATAATCCAAGTTCAAAGCTGAAGGGCACCGGCGTTATCCACCAGGTATGAGGAAAGGCCAGTCCTCCCCAGCTCTCCCACAGCCTTGGTTTGGGCCAGGGAGAATATTCCTGAACTCGAGACGAGAGAGAATTCATGTTTCTGGTATGTGATCACTGAGCTCATTAGGAGTCAAGGGAATGTTCGTCTCCTTCCTTAGCCGTTTCCAAGGAGGCAGGCCGCCCAAGGCCAAACCTGGTCTATTTTCTGAGCCCTCTTGCTCTGTCCCAGAGATCTGGTCACATTCCTTAAATAACACATTTTCAGTCTTGATGGATTGGTCATATTTGAGTGAGAATTGATAGGTGAGAGAAGGAAACTCTTTAATTTCTCGGTGCGAGGCATTTTAAAACCAGGCCTAAATTACCATCAGGAGGGGTCCACTGTGCAGGCCCATCAGTGCGGCCTCTGTTGGGGGTCACACAGCTTCATCCCCAGCCACCTCTACCTCGATATTTTTCTATTGCTTTTTTTTAAGAAGTTAAAATTGGATAAAGTATATGAATATTGAGCAAACACTAAAAAATATCATGTTAAACGGGTGCTATCATTAAGAGTCCTGTGTTGCGGCTGGGGTTGGGGCTCAGCAGCAGAGCGTGCGCCTAGCATGTGCGAGGCACCATTGAATTCCTTATGCCCAGTTAATATTCCATGGTTGACTGTGGCTCTACGAACAGCAGAGGCAGTGCAGGCGCGAGTGTTTTTAGGTTCCAGGAGGCAGTGGCTTGGTCAACCTTGCTCCTGTAGCTTATGAAGAGGGAGGAGTGTGCTGTCTGGCTACACTCCTTGTCCTCTGCCATTTTTCTCCATGTTTCTAAAGCATAATATTTACAAATTTAATACCAGTGAGGATGTCTCGTATAGTTTACCATACTTGGCATTTCTGTGGTTTTAAGACGTACCCCCCACACACTAGTGTGTCTATTGTCTTTCTTCTTAATGGTTTATAAAATAATGTGGAGCTTAGATGGAATGGCAGAGTCCCTTGTTTGGTCATTTCTAAGATTCAGGGTTGGGTCACTTGTGAAGCTCTCAATGACAGACACTTGGCCAGAGAAAGCCCGTTTTCATCAGCAAAGTGAATCAGAGCTTGGCATTTTCTTTGTGAATAATTGCTTTATCCATATTAAAACTTAAGGGTGAAAAAGATTTTTAAACAATTCAGTTACAAATTCCATTTTATTAACTTTTTCTGTCAAACTGTTCATTTCAAATCTTTGCTTTTAGAGAATATATGAATGTGGGAGGGGGAGGAGGGACCCCTCTAGGCAAGCTGCCTGGGAAACAGAATGGCATTTCAACTCAAAGTTCACAACATACAAAGAATTTATTTATGTAATACAGACCTTTTCTCAAATATTTTTCACAGATTCCATACAGTAACCTACTAGAAAAGTAGAATTATACAACACCAAAATAACATTATTTCTTAGTACAAATCGCTAATCAAAAGGAAGGTAGAGAGTTTAATAACAAAGAGAAGGTAGGACGGTGTTGCTTAAGACAGCAGCTGGTGGCCTCTGCACTCAGACCCCAGTGGCCCTGCTCTCCACAGGGACACAGGCAGGCCTCTTGAGCTTTGGTACTTGCATTTACTTTCAAAGAAAAACAAAGGCTGTGAGCCCAAGAGCATCTCCATCACTTCATCTTGTTGTGCTATGAGGACAACAGGTCAGGAAAAAACGGTAAATATTTCACACTTGCTATAACTTAGATCCTTTGCTTACCACACAATAAAATACAACAGCCTCCCCCACACCATAATTTTCTAGACTAAAACATGCTTGAAGAATAATATTATAGAAATAATTCATTGAGATGTCTTGAATTACATTTACCATAATTTAAACATTACTATTTAAATCCCAGAAATTTCAGCACTGAAGAAGCACAATTGTTTGGAAAAATTCAGGACCAAAAGTACACCATAAAATCCTCCCATTCCATTATTATAACCCGTTTCCCTGTTGCTAAAATCATATTTCTCAAGATTACAGGTAAATGGGAAACGTTTTTTTTCATAATATAGCTAGAGTAAGTGGGCTTATTTGTTCCACTGTGCATTTCCATAATTGGTGAAAATAGACTTCTCATTATGACTAAAAATATAGATTTTTTTTAAAACTACAGAACCCAGCAGCCAGTTTTCTGCTTTGCTGTTCCCCCCCAAAAAAGTCAAGCAAAGTCTACAAAAATAGCAATTAACTTTAAAAAATATTTTGCTTGTTCAAGCAAATTTAAGTTACATTCAGATGTGATAGCTATTTCTTAGAGAACGATGCTCAGGGTCTCTCCACTGCTCAGGCTGGTGGCAGCCGAGTGCCGTCACCATCAGTAGCGGGTTTGGTATTCATGATGCCACCGGTTAAAGTCGTTGTAAAACAGCACAATGCTTCCCGAAGCCATGCCAGAAATGATGCACCTGGGAGAAACACAGAAAACGGGGTTTGCACACTGACGCTTCCTGGGGCTTGTGGCCAAAGACTTGCCTTCCCCAAGCCCATTAGGCCGAGGGCAGCAGTCAGACTGCGACCCGGTGTCAACTATGGTGTTTTCTTGATGCCTGAAAGAAGGATCTGGGGAAACTCGGGTGCTGCCTGCTTTTTCATGGACAAGGCAAGTACAGCCAGTGTGCAGAATGAGTCACTACAGCCTGAGTCAATGCCACCATTCCTGGGGGAGGCTGGCCTGTAGGATGAACCTATCCCTTTATACAGGCATCCGAACCATAGGAAAAAACTGAAGGAGCAGGTGGCACACACCAAGTGACAAATGTCATCTCTGCCAGGACAAAAAATGACTCGGAATGAGTGCTGACCACCGGCTGTGGCAGAGCGCTTGCTGGGCTGGGCTCTCCCCTGCAGAGGAATCCTCTGGGTCATCATGTGCTGGGTATGGGCCTGGTCCTCATAACAGTGACTGCCATTGTCCCTGGGCAGGGATGATGGAGAGCAGTAAGGGAGCAGTCGGGGACCTTCCCTGCGGCTGCTCCAGGGCAGAGAATATCAAAGTGGCAAAAGTAAGTCTTCCATATCGGTTATTAGTGTAAAAAGATTAACTGTCCAGTCAGAAGGTTGAGACTAGCAGAATGGATAGAAAGTATGATCTGACATGCTGCCTACAGGACACTCACTCGGACACAAATATGTTGAAAGTGAAAGAATGGAAAGAGATATTCCATACAAATGGTAACAGAAGAGCTTCAACAGTATCCGAAGTGGTTATACTAACATGAGACAAAATGGGTTTTAAGTAGAAAACTGAGACACTTGTTGATAAAAGGGTCAATTCATCCAGAAAACAGAATAAAACATATGCATTAAACATCTGAGCCCAAAGAGGTGGAGTAGACACCATCAGAGCTGAAGGGAGAACTAGTTCTACAGCAATAGGTCGGACACTGCAGTCGCCTACTTTCAATGAAGAGTAGAGCAACCAGAGCAAATAGAGTCCCTACAGTCTCAAAGGTAAGCCACATACTGGGCCTTCAAACCAGTCTCAATGATTTAGAAAGACTGAAATTATACAGAGTATCTCTTCTGATGGTAATAGAATGGAACCAGGAATCAATAATAGAAGGAAAACTCACAAATACGTGAAAATTAAACCCCGGGTCAAAGAAGCAGTCATAAGGAGATCAGAAAATGACAATACACAACGTCGAAATTTACAGGATGCAGCCAAAGTGCCAAGATGAAGTTCACAGCTGCAGACGTGTCCTCTAACCCTTGAATCGATGACATTAGGTTGCACCTGGCAGCTCACACCCATAATCACAGTGACTCAGAAGGCGAAGGCAGTGCAAGTTCAAGGCCAGCCTCAGCAACTTAGCAAGACCTTCTCTCAAAAAAAAGAACAAGAGATGTAGCTCAGTGATGTGCCCCTGGGTTCAATCCCCAGTGTCAAAAATAAACTAAGAAACTGAGCCCAAGGCTAAGAGAAGAAATGAAATAATAAGGGCAGAGAAAATAGAATACAACAGAAAATCAAAACACATTGACAAAGGAAAAATAACTCCAGAAAGTAGGGATGTTACTACCAGTTTAACATGAATAACAAAGTTATAAGATTATTAGGAACAGTTGGATCCCAGCAAATTAGACATCCTAGAGAAAACGGACACATTCTTGGAACAATATACCCAAACTGAATCACCACAAAAGAGAGAACCTGAATAGACTTAAAACTAACAAGATTGATTCAGTAATCAAAAACTTCCCACTAGGGCTGGCTAGGGGCTGGGGCTGTGGCTCAGTGGCAGAGCGCTTGCCTAGCATGTGTGAGGCACTGGGTTAGACCCTCAGCACCACATGAAAGTAAATAAAGGAGGCCTCAGAGGGCCCCTTGCCTTAACAAAACAAAATCTCCCAATAAAGGAAAGCCCTGGGCAATATGGCTTCACTGGTGAATTCTACCAAAAACTTAAAGAAGGGTTAACGCTAGTCCTTTTCAAACTTTTCCAAAACATTCAATAGGAGGGGCCCCTACTAACTCATGCAATGAGTCCAGCATCTCCCTAATACCAAAGTCAGAAAAAGACACCACAGACGAGGTCCTTATGAATATGGATGCTAAGTACTAGCAAACATATTAAGACTTATACACCATGACAAAGTGATAGTCATACCTGGAATGTAAGGTGGTTCAATATGCAAAAATCAACACAACACACCACATTAACAGAATGAGCCAAAAAATCCACATGATCATCTGGGCTAATATTGAAAAAGCCTTTAACAAAATTCAACATCTTTTCATTATTAAAAACACTCACCAGGAATCAAAAGAAATTTCCTCAAATGACAGAGCATTTATGAAAAATCCATAGCTAACATCATAGTAATGAAATTAAGTTTTTCCTCTATGATCAGAATATGCCCATTTTTACCATGTGTATTCAACATAGCACTGGAAGTCTTACACAGTAATTAGGCAAGAAAGAGAAAAGGAATCTACATTGGAAAGAGTAAAAATTATCTGTGTCACAGATGACAGGTAAGAAATCCTTAAGATTCCACATTAAAAAAACAAAACAAAAAAACCTTGATAGAGCTAATAAATAAATTCAGCAAATTTGAAGGTTTATAATACAAAAAATTGGTTGTATTTTTATATACTAACAATGAATAAAAGAGAAATTAAAAACAATCCCACTTACAAAAACATCAAAAAGAATGAATTACTTGGGAATAAATTTAAGGAAACAAAATACTTGTATACCAAAAACTATGAAATGTTGCCGACAGAAATAAGAGAAATGAGTGGAAACAAACCCCATGTTGAATCCATCCCATGGGCTAGACAACCTAATGTTAAGATGTCGATACTACCCAAATAAATCTCTAGATTTATAGTAATCCCTACCAAAATGATTTTTTTTCCAGAACTAGAAAACCCATCCAAAAATTTATCAGGAATCTCAAGGGACCCCCAACTAGCCAAAACAATTTTGGGAAAGAAGAAAAAAGTGGGAGGTGTCACATCTTCTAGCTTTTAAACTTACTACAAAGATATAGTAATTGGAACTGTCATAGTGGCATAAAGACAGACACAGGGACTAGCAGGATGGAACAGAGGCTTAAAAATAAAGCCCACATATATGGTGTTCAATCACTTGATGGGTGCCAAGACCATTCAGTGGGGAAAGGACAATCCTCCACATGCAGAACAATGAAGTTGGGTCCTCACCTAGAACTAGAAACCTCATGGGGGATGCTTTGTGACCTTGAATTCTGCGATGATTTCTGAGATATGACACCAAAAGCACAGGCACAATAGAAAAGATATTTTGGACTCTAAAAATTAGACATGTGCATCTAAAGACACTGAAGACAGTGAAAAGACAACACTAATCACGAGGGAGCTGTAGAGCCACAAGGGAGATCCCTCCACACCCCACACCCACTGGACAGTCGTCATAGAAACAGAACACGATGAACCCTGGCGAGGACGGAGAAATCAGACGCCCATGTGCACTAGTGGGATTGGAAACCAGTGTGGGAGCTTCTCAGAAAGGTACACATTATTACCATACGATCTAGCAATTCCACACCTGGTATTTACCCAAATAAACTCTGAAAAAAATCTTAAAACAGGTATCTATGCTAATGTGAAAGCATATTATTCACAATAGACAAAAGGTGGAAATAACTCAACTGCCCATCAAATGCATAAACAACATCGTATATCCATCCAGCAGAACATCAGGCTAGGAAGGAATGGGATTCGGATACATACCATAACATAGCCCTGAAAACATGCTAAGTGAGATAAGCCAGACACAAAAGGAATATTGTTTGGTTACACTGTCAGGAGGTATCCAGAAGAGGCAAATTCCTAGAGACTGAAAGTAGAATAGAGGTGAGCTGTAGAGAGGCAGTCATTGTTTAATTGTTTGGGCTGATGAAAAAGTTCTGTAAATGACAGTGCTGGTCACACAACATTGTGAATGCACTTAATGCCACAAAAATCATACACTAAGAAAACAGCCTATGTTGCCACAATTTAAAAAACCAGGAAATATCTGTATAATACGACTTTAGATACCAGCTAAAAATTATCCTCCTGTAGGGCGTAGTGGGTGCACACCTGTAATCCCAGCAAACTGGGAAGCTGAGGCAGGAGGACTATAAGTTCAAAGCCAGCCTCAGCAATTCAGTGAGGCCCTGAACAACTAGCGAAATAAAAATACATAAAAAGGGCTGGGATGTGGCTCAGTGGTTAAGCACCTCTGTGTTCAATCCTCAGTACCAAAAAAATAAAAATAAATTATCCTCCCAATTCACTTGGGATATTTCAGCACATAAATCAAGTCTCTCTTGGGCTGGGGATGTGGCTCAAGCGGTAGCGCGCTCCCCTGGCACGCATGCGGCCCGGGTTCGATCCTCAGCACCACATACCAACAAAGATGATGTGCCCGCCGATAACTAAAAAATAAATATTAAAAAAGTTCTCTCTCTCTCTCTCTTTAAAAAAAATAAAAAAATAAAGTCTCTCAGTAGAATCCCCAGGGTCAGAGACAAAGCATTTTATGTTATACATGTTTACAACTCTTAAAATTTTGCTTATAAAAAAAGGTGCTTTAAAGAAACATAAGAGGCTTTCCAGCAACGTAATTGGAGCCTTTGCTACTTAAATCCTGTTTCTTGAAAACTCAACGTCTGTCCATGAATAGCAAGGCCATCAGAAAATAAATCACACTTAAAAATGTTCTTAGATCCCTGATACTGGGGAGGCTGAGGCAGAAGGCAATTTACAACACCAAAGAGACCTGGGGATGTGTATCAGTGGTAGGAGTGCTTGCCTATCAAGTGCAAGGCCTTAGATTTGTTCCCTAGTAGTGCAAAAGATCCGTGGAAATGATATTGGCTTTGGCTGTTTTGACTGCACAGGTGATGCTGCCACTCACCTAATCCATCAGCTCATTTAAAGGAAGTCCCTCTGAGTTTTTAATATTACTGTTATTAGACTGTTTCCATTGTTACCTCTGGTCATGAGATAGTGCCATGGCCCGGATTCCAGCATCACAGCCTGGGTAGGCAAAGAGTTGCTTGAGGTCAGACACCTGCCAGACCATGACCACACCGTTGTCTCCTCCTGTGAGCAGGTACTGCCCGTCCCGGCTCAGCTGGATGGCCTGTGAGAGACAGCAACATTCAGTAGAGATGGGGTTGTGGGAAAAGGGCCTGGTGTATGTGAGGCCGGCGCTCACTGCCAGCTACTGCCGTGAGGGCAGGGTGTGGGGAAAGACTGATCCTTAGAGAGTCTTAGGAAATGAGTTGTAGAAGGCCTACCATTTTTCAAAATGCAAGTGGACAAGGTTAGGCAGTGCTGGAGGTTTATTTTCATTCCTTACAGTTTTGTTTTGATGACTCATTCATGGAACTCAGTTCCATGAATGCTGCCTGAACGGCCAACTGTGGCGGGGAGCATTTCTTCAGCAGTACTGTGATGCATCAGCCCATCTTGTGCCAAGGTGGCAGTCAGGGCCAGCCTACCCTGTGGCCCCAGTCAGGCTGCTGCCTTTCCTTCCATGGCACTAGGTGGGGCAAAGCAAGCAGCCAACAGCTTAAGCACCTTCTCCAGGCCTGCTGGATTTTGACAGCAGCTGTAGAAACCAACAGCTGCTTGGATGGTCAAAGCCCAGGCCTGCACTGCAGCCGGCCTCACAGCCAGCTCCTCACGGCCAGCTCCTCACAGCCAGCTCCTGTGGTCCGGCCGCCCCACCCTGCATGCACAGCACACAGGCGGAGTCTGCCCTTTGAGCCTTTGAAAAGGGCGTCCACAGATGAACGATTTCGGGTCCAGGGCAAACATTTTTTAATGGTTGAAAAATAATTTCTCATGACACGTGAATATTAGGTGAATTCCAAATCTGAATATCCATAAATAAGGTTTTATCGGAACCCAGCCACGCCATTTGTCCTTGGCTACTTACACAGGTGGTTGCATCAGAGACTGTGGGGTCCTCAAAGCCTAAAATATGTACTATCTGTCCCCTTACAGAAAAGGGTGCCTGCTCCTGATAGAAAAGGCTCCTCTCAGCTTCGGCTGCCAGGTCTATTACTCCTGCCTCTCCCCTGGTCACCTTCCCACTTGGCATTCCATCCCTACAAATCTCCTTCCTGTGGCGGGGAGGCCTCCAATTTCTCCAGTCCCTGCTAATACCTGCAATCATCTGTCCACCTGGGCACAGTGAATGTGGGGACAGATTATGAAGGCAGCCAGATAAAAACAAGATCTAACTTCAGAAAACTAGACTTACTTTGTTTCAGAATTTTAGGATAATTGCCTAAGTCTTTAATCTACCCTCTGAGAAATTTTAAAATTGTATGAAAGGGATGTTTTATACCCATTCAGTTCACATTTGCATACATGCCAATTTTTAGTAGCCTCTTAAATATAGCTTATTAAATACACAAAAAGACATCTAAGAAATAAAAACCCAAATGTGGAAGACAGTTACATATAAGATATATTCTCAGCCAGTTGCTGTGGCACGTGTCTGTGATCCCAGCGACTTGGGAGGCTGAGGCAGGAGGATCACTGGTTCAAGGCCAGCTTCAGCAACTTAGTGAGACCTTGTCTCAAAAAATAAAAAGGATTGAGGGAGTAGCTTAGTGGTAAAGCACCCCTGGTACAAAACAAAAAAACAAAACCCCCCAAAAACTCAAAGCTTTTCAATGAAATATAATTCAATATGAGCAAAAATCCTATTTCCTCTGTTCATTTCACAAATGGCAATCTCCAGTGATACCTGGGAACTACAGTGAAGACTAGGACAAATAGTTATTTGCCACACTTATAAAATTCAGCTGATGAAAATGTGTTGACCTTATGGTTGGGGTTCATTTGAATTATATACTTGAGGATTTTTACTGGATAAATGCTATATTAAAACCGTTAATCTTTAACTCTTTGTTCTAGTTAAGAATCTCTAACACTAATTCTGTCTAAAAGGAAAAAAAAAATCCAGGATTTTGAGGAATATACATTCATCAGCACTCAAAACATGTTAATGGCCAGGGGGAAGCATGTCCTGCCCCTCCATCATGAGGGGCCTGTCCGTGTCCTCCGGCCGTGAGGGCCACCGTAGCATCTACTGAGCTGCACTGTTTTCTACCAAACCTTCCTTTATGTGGTTCTTGATTCCAACCCAGCTCGGGATCCAGTGAGTTGTGACTCCAGAGACCTATTAATCTCATCCTCTGGGTCCTGAGTGATTTGGATGACCCTGCCTGCACTGGTTTTTAAGGAGGCAACAGCAGGCCACTGTGGTCAGTGGAGACCGACTGACTAAATCAGCCCCAAGGAAAAAAAATCACTGAGCTCCTAGGAGTGAGAAGGTGGTTATTGGTTGTGGTGGACTAGCTGTGCTGTCCGGACAGGCTGGCCTGCTTCAATCCAAGTGACTCATGAAGACATCCACACATTGTCTAGGTGCTATATTATAATAATGCTATTTACCAAAATGCCACTGAGCAATCTGCCACCTGAAGTAAAATAGGTGTGAAGCCTTGATCCGCACAGAGGTTCCCCAGGCTGCCTGGCTGCCTGCAGCATTCTTGGTATTTCAAAGAAACTCAATTTCTGGTCTGGCTGGTGACTGATTTGCTTCCTGCTCTCCGTGCCTTGCATAGGCTCAGCCTGCAGGGTGGAGCTGGAGATCCTTGCTCTGTGATGTCTCTGTTCGGGACTGTGGTTTCCTTCTTCCCTCCCCAGGTGGCTAGCTGTGTGTCTCTGAATGTCTCTGCGGCCAGCAGTGCTCACGTTAGGGAGCGCACCATAATCACACGGTTGCCGCTTTCGAGTTAGTGAGTGTGATAGAGTGCAGGAGTGCTGGGGGAAAGGCGTGGACTCTTAAAGCCCAAAATCCAGCGGGAAACATTACTGAAGGAGGAATGGGGGCTGCAGGGCAGGGAGAGGGTGAGTGCCAACAGCCTGCAGGATGCCTCCCGCTGCTGCCTGAGGAACTTGCTGAGCCGCTGGTCTCGCTGCAGTGCCAGGGGACGGTTTGAGCCAGCCAGGGATTTCAATTATTTACAGATTTATTAGTGCAGCTGACAAAGTAATCACAGCTCAAAGTGACAGATTATCAACATTATTATTGTAAAGAAAAGAGGAAAGGAAAATCCTCTGATGTGTACTTGGTTTAAATGAAGTATTATGGGAAAGAAGGGAAAAATAAAGCAGAGGGCGGGAGCTGTGTGCTGGCTTCCACGTCGGGGCCGGCGGAAAACTCAACAGCCAGCAAGGAGACTCGAGGAAGCCTGGATCCCAGCACACACAGCCCTTGTAGGGATTTTGTTCCTGGAAGCTTCCTGAGCCTAGTGTTCACCTGGGAGAAAGGGGTGAGCAGACGAGATGGGGAAACTGGGAGGACTTGTGTCATCTCAGCTGCCCAGAGTCAGGCTGTGCACTGAGAAAATGTCCAGAGCCAGCCCAGGCCCACACGCGGAGGGCAGAGGCATGGGGGCCCTGCTCTTGCCCCCAAAAATGTCCTGGGTCCTCTTTGTACAATCACATGCACGTCTACCCAGATGATAGGTCTCCCACGGCTTCACTTTCCCTCTGCCTGCACCAAGGAGCTTTGGTGACAACGGAAGCACCTTGACAAAGTAGCTCCCAAAGGACCAGCCTCTTTTCCTCAGCCTCTAGCACTGGAGCCCTGGACTTAGAACAAAGCCCAACCGGAGGGTCCACTCAGGGGAACGCCTGCCTGCCTGGCTTCATAATCCGCAGCTCAACTCCCTCAGCTTGACGGGCTGCGCCTGCTGTCCGGGAAGAAGTCGAGTCTGACCCTAGTGCTAACCTGAGGCCCTGTAGGGTAATCTGGTCTGTTCAGCTTTTATACTTGGGAAACAGGAAACTTCCTTAGATAAAAGCACTGCAGTGCCATCAAAAGTCACGGCTTCCCAGGCCCTTGAGAAAACCCCTGCTGCTGAGGGCCTCTTCTGCTTCCCGGCCTGGCACAGCCCTGAAGCTGGGGCCTGCTGTGCTCTGCGACTGTCCAAGTGCTACCTCCCATGTCCCTACTCGTGTGGAAAAGAGGCCAAGACAATTCAAAAAGATTTCTGCAGCCACCCCTGGGCCCCTCACTTGCCACACCGAGGTAAAGTGGGGAATGCAGAAAAGCCTGAGGAGCTCACCCTGATGTGATCATCCGTTTCCACAGTGGCCTGGAGCTTCCCATTCACAGTGAAGGTGCAGAAGCAGCCGTTTTCATAGAAGATGACACAGTGACCCTCTCGTGAAGCCTGGATGAGTTTTGGTTTCAGGCAGTTTTCCGGACCCTCTAAGGTCCTTAACAAGTCTCCATTCATGGAATGTATGAGACATGGTCCTTCTGAGAAAGAGGAGACACAAAGGCAAATACATAATCAAGTCAGAAGGCTGGGGTGTAGCTCAGGGGTAAGGTGCTTGCCTGACGGGTGCAAGGTCCTGGGCTCCAGCTTCTGCACTGTGAAAAGAAAAGTGTGATCTGAATCTCGAGCACAGTTCAACCAGGATAATGGTGTTACATGACAGCTGTAGAAAGCTTTTTTAAAAAACTATATATCATCTTATGTGCAAGTTATTTTGCTAACTCTCCCCTTCATGTCTGCCTTCCATTGGGAGAGGAGAGAAGCTACGCCATGTACATTCAAACTCGATTTTCCTCAAGAGACAGGAAGTTACTTTATAAAATCCATTATGCCAAGAGGTGAAATTAACTGGAGGCATTCAGAAAGGAATGGGACAATTATTAACAGACTCAAGGAGGGCTCAGAAGCAGGCAGACAAGGGCTGTTGTCAGGCATACTGACCTCTCCCTGCACCTCTCAGGGGCCACAGTCCCACCCTGTGGTCTATGTAGAGAGAGCGCAGTAGGGTGGCTGCTGAAGACTTAAGCCACCTTCCTTCCCACTGCTCACTGAACTGAAAGGGAGACCATGGTGATCTCTCATGCCCCAAATTCACATGGGCCATCTCCTGCCACCTCATGACAACTAAATCTGCTTCTATGATATCCTCAAAGCAAGCAGCAGCATTCAACACTGCCAAACCCCTAGGGTGACCACCAGGCTGGGATGCCTGAGGAGGGTGGGAAGAGGCTGAGCAGCTCACACCTATCACAGCTTTTCTGTTTCTACTGAAAACCTGTGACATACAGAGTGAAGAAGTAGACACGGCCGTTCAGGGAGTGTATAAGTTTTTGTGCTCTTAGGCAATGGCTTTCTCAACAGGACCCCTAACGCTCAGGAAATAATGCCAAGAGTTAATAAACTGAACAGCATCGAATTAGAAAGCTTTTGCACAGCAAAGGAAACAATTAGGAAATTGAAGAGAGAACCCACAGGATGGGAGAAATCTTTGCTAGCTATTTTTCTGACAGAGGATTAATATCTAGAATATATAAAGAACTCAACTTTTACACCAAAAATTCAAATAATCCAATTAATAAATGGGCAAATGAATTAAACAGACACTTTTCAAAAGAAGAAATACAAATGGCCAACAAATACATGAAAAAATGTTCAACATCATTAGCAATTAAAGAACTGCAAATCAAAACTACACTGAGATTTCATCTCATACCGTCAGAATGGCAGTCACCAAGAACACAAGTAATAATAAATGCTGGAGACAATGTAGAGAAAAAGGAACATTTTTACACTGCAGGTGGAACTGTAAATTAACACAAATCAGTAATGGAAGCTCCTCGAAAGACTGGGCTGTAGAAAGCCTTTAAAAAAAAAACTACATATCATCTTACATGTGAGTTATTTTGCTAACTCTCCCCTTCATGTCTGCCTTCCATTGGGAGAGGAGGAATATGACCAGCTATACCACTTCTTGGTATTTACTTTGAAGAATTAAAGCCATCTTACTACAGTGATACATGCATACCCATGTTTAGAGCAACACAATTCACAATAGCCAAACCATGGAACCAGCCTGGGTGTTCATCAACGGATGGATGGATAAAGAAATGTGGTGTATAAAGTGAAAGCAGTCATGAAACCTCAGAGGTTTAGGGGTCCTATGTTTTCTCTTATATGTGAAGCTAGAGAGGAAAACAAAGGTGGAGGTGGATCTCCTAAAAATCAAAGGGAGATCAGTAGAGGAAAGGGGCCTAGGGGAGAAGTCCTAAGAGAGAATATTGGTCAAATTATATTGTTCTATTGTGTGCATGTGTGAATGTGTAACAAAAAATCCCATCAGTACGTACAATTATAATGTACCAATTTAAAATGTGGGGAAAAAAGATTTTGTGGTCTTCAACATAAATATAGACGGGCAGTCTTTGCTTTTGCCCAGTTCCAGCATGTATGAATTTCAGTTATTACTCCCTGAACAACGCTACCTCCATCCCCAACAACACAGTTCAGCTTTCAGTTATCACAGCAGCTGAATAAAGTGGACTCCTTGAGGCTGGCTCTTCAGGCCACAAACCACTATGTAAAAATCAGTTGTGCATCATGACAAATGACCAGTCACATCACTTTCAAAGCACAGAGGTGACTGGTCTACTGCACATCTGGGATGCAGTTCATGCTCAGACAGCAAACACAGTAGTTGTGTTGCCTCTTTGATTCCCAGAAATAAACTTGTAAGACCTTTTATACACATGGACAACACAAAAGGGTATTGGCCACCACAGATGAAACTTCAACAGAGAAATAAAAAGAAAAAAGCTGAGAGTGGAATCTGAATTGAGTATAAATGGAATTAGAGAATGAAGGGCAGCTTGTGGACAAGGAGGTGACACTGTAGTCATGCAGCTAGGAAATGAGGGAAGAGAGTTTATTGATACAAATTAGGAAAGTGCTTGTAACATGACGATGTAGCTGGGTTTGGTAGCATAGAACTGTAATCCCAGCAGCTAGAGAGGCTGAGGCAGGAGGATCATGAGTTCAGAGCCAGCCTCTGCAATTTATCAAGGCCCTGAGCAACTCAGTGAGACCCTGCCTCTAAATAAAATATAAAAGAGGGCTGGGGGGGCTGGGGATGTGGCTCAAGCGGTAGCGCGCTCGCCTGGCATGCGTGCGGCCCGGGTTCGATCCTCAGCACCACATACCAACAAAGATGTTGTGTCCAACTAAGAAAAAAAAAATAAATATTAAAATCCTCTCTCTCTCTCTCTCTCTCTCTCTCTCTCTCTCTCTCTCTCTCTCTCTCTCTCTCTCTCTCTCTCTCTCTCTCTCTCTTAAAAAAAAAAAAAGAGGGCTGGGGATGTGGTTCAGTGGTTAATTACCCCTGGGTTCAATTCCTGGTACCCAAACAAAAAACAACAACAACAGAAGTGATACCAGTAAAACATCCCATCCAAGACCTAGAGGATAGTTCATGACAATGAAAGCACAAAAAATGCTGGAAGCTGGTCCAAACTTAGAAAGGAGTATGATTTTGTGGTCTATAGCATAGAAAAGATGGATGTGGAGCAGGCAGTGAGGATTGCTCACACCACCCTCAAGTTTTTTATAAAAGAATTAAAATATTTTAATTCTCAAGGTTTCTAATATTTAAATTGCAATGTACTAAGTCAAGGTGTGTTTTAATATTTTTTATGTCCTTACATGAGTACATACGCACATGCACACACACACACACACATATAATAAGAGATTTTTAACATTTTAACAAATATTTTGTAAGTCATGGAACAATCACAACATTTCCCACTATCAAGTCCAAGTCCATTTTGCAAAATGGTTTCAGTTTGCATTTTGACTATTAGAGTCCCACGCTTATGTGCAAAGTGAGGGTGGTCTGAAGAGCTGTTTTACATGTATCACACACAGTCCAAGACCCATGTTAATTCAGCATGTGTAAAATTATTTAGTACAAGAAGGGGCGGGGGAAATCCAGTAGTCACAGAATTCCTGCTGTCAGTATTATCTCACTTCACTGCTTTGACCAACTAAATTTTTTAAACACAACCCTTTGAATACTTAATATGAACTTGTCAGCTAGAATAAGTATAGTCCAGAACACAGATAAGGTGGCTCAAATACTTTAGGCTGCCCACCAGGTAAGCCTAGAAGACATGGGACAAGAGTACTTTTTTGTGCCCTCAGACTTCAGCTCAGAGCAGAAACACAGAGATGGATCAGCTGTCAAATGGACACAGCTCTGTTCCTGGTTAGAACCCGATTTGTTGTGTGTACTTTGGAGAAGCTCAATATCTCTGGCCTAAACCGATGACACAGCTGCCAGCCAAACTTTCCAGTCAGACCAGCGTAAGTGTCTCCACTCTCCTCGGTGACAGTTTGGCCCCTGCTAGCCTGAGGTTGAATGTGAAGAGAGCCAGGAGTTTCCATTCAGGTTTGTAAAACACCTTAAACTCTTTAGAACAGTGCTGTGAAATGTAACTTCCTGCAGTAATAGGAAGGGCTGGGTCTGTGCTCACGTGCACAGCAGCCACCAGCCATGTGTGAACACTGAGCCCCCCAATGAGGCTGCTGCCACCAAGGAACGGATTGTTTAGTTGCACTTAATTTTATCTAAATTTGAGTAGCTTTATGTGGCTAATGGCTATTATAACAGGCCAAAGCTTTAGAGAAGAGGCTTTGTCTTTGCTAAGTGTTATCAGAAGACACCAAGGAATGCATACATATGCAGGTTCCCAGCTTTACCTTGAGAGCCACTCAACACCAGGCCCAGCTCGGCACAGATGGCAGCACAGGTGATCTCACAATCATGGCCTGTCAGAATGGCCCGAGGGGTGGTAGTCTCACCTTCAGAAACAAACAGATAAAAAGGACAAGTCAATTCAAGATCAAGCAGATTAAATAACTTGTTCCTAATTTCCATGATGCTTAAATCTTTATAGTTTGAGAATTTGTCCAAAAAATCCTATTTTAGGACTAGTTCTAAACTAAATGCTACAGTTCAAGGCCCACATGTTGCTTTTCAAGGAACCCTTAGGTGACCGTCAAGCAACAGTGGTCACTAGCTCAGATGACAAAGCCTGAATTCTAAAATGCCTCAAATAGTCCTGTGTGGTGTGCAGGCCTGTGACCCCAGTGTCTCCGGAGGCTGAGACAGGAGGATTATCAGAAAAAAAGAGAAAACACTAGGGATGTGGGGGCAGTAGCTCAGTGGTTAAGTACCCCTGAGTTCAATTCCCACTAGCAAAAAAAAAAAAAAAGCCTCAGAGATGCCTTCCAAATGCAGACCAAATATAGACAACCAAATATAGACATGAGTCCCTTAATTAGCACGGTTCATGGGTGGATGATTTAAAAAGTAGGGACTCTGACTCAAGAGTACAATTCAAAGAAAGGCCTCCTCCTCTTCCTCTGTGGGTCACCGAAGCCTTTCAAAATAAGATGGTCTGATGTAGGATTAGGAATATCTCAAAGTGGTCCCTTTATAAATACCTGTTATTGCTACTAAACTTGTGTATTTTCTTGATAAATCAATATCACAGAGTGTATTTCTCCATGATTCATTCAAAGAATGGAGGCTGGGTAGCTAAACCCTCACACAGCATTCTGATAATGAATGAAAATTAGGGGAAAAGGGTGGAGAAGGGGGTATAGAGAAAAAGTGTCTAAATAATGAGAGATGTTCCAAGATGTTTTCCTAGGTAGAAAGTACATCTCTGTCCAAAACTAAAAAGAAAACCCAAGGTGTGCAAGGGATACCAGCATGAACGGCCATAGCAGAGTAGGAGCACAATGGCTTGATTCCTGCTCAGCCACCAGGATAAACTGGATTCCATTTTTGGCCTGAGGAATACTATTTTAAGACTAAACTAGTCCCCTACTTTTAGTGTCTAAGAACAAAGACACAAAGAGCCTTTATAAACAAAACTACAGAGCAGGAGGTCCTGTTAGCATTTGTAGATTCCTTGATCAGCCCTGGTTTTATAGTAATCCCAAAGGGGCAAATGTGCCCAGAAAGTAGGTCACTACCACAACTGTGGAACTCTAGACAAAAGAACCCTGTCATCCTAACCCCAGATAGCTGGCTATTCTTACAGTAGACACCTTCTCTGAGGAGAGTCCTGGGAGGCCAGAGAAACCCACCAGGAACCTACTGCACTTAGGAAGGTAAACGTTGCTGTCAAAAAACCGAATCTAGCTTCAAAGCAGAGGTCCTTATCAGTGCATCAATTTCAGTTCTCTGAAATTTCAGGCAAAATATGTGCACATGCCTGTTTTTCTGGGGAGTGAGGGAGGAAATTAGGTTTCACTGAAGGCACAGAGATTCATGATCCAAAAAAGGTGAGTGGCCTCCACTATGAAGAAAGAAGCCTAGTTCCTGTGTTTCAGCCACACATCACCCGGAGCCAGGGTGACTTCATCTGAGTTACAATGTGTGCACTGGAGCACATAACACACAGCTGTGCCCCCCAGTGTCTTTCACAGCTTTGGTGACTGACTACAGGTGCTTCTGAAGGAGATTTAAGTCACATTAAACTGTGCACCACTCTGGCTGCTCTCAGGGAGGCCACTGCTGGAGCTGGCCTTCATGCTTACTGGTAAAGAGAGAGCCGGGCTGACAGATTAGAGACAGGGAGGAGGAACAGGGGCTTGCTTTCATTTCATTCCAGATCCTAAAACTTCCCTGAAGAGGCATACCCACCTTAACTAGAAAGTTTACTTGACATTTCACAAACTAAAAAGAATTTGTCAGAGAATATTTTTTTTTTCTTAAAAAGTCCACAAGTTTGGAATATTTTCAAAGGAAAGAAACAAATAATGCAAATTAATCTGAACTTCTTAACTTTCTGTTAACGATACTCTTTGTCATGAAACTTAGAAACAAATATGCTGTGTTTTTAAAAGTTAATACTTTAGCCCTAATTCCTGGGTTCCCCATTTCCCATGAAGTTATAAATTCCACAAAATAAGCCTTAATGTTATTTTTGAAATTACTGCCTAATTATATCTATTGGCAACTTTTTCATCAACAGTTAAAAATCTTTATGATCTAAGGAATACATCGTTGGTGTGATTGATCCTTTGTTTTCCTACGTCCCCATTTTATGGTGTGGGGGGTGAGACTTCTGTTTTGACTTGAATTGTCTTGGAATTCCTCCGTGGAAACTGAAGGTTTGAAGGGAAACTGATGGCAAATGAAGGCAATCTACACATAAGCCAAAGTAAACACAGGACAGATGGATCATGGCGAACCCGGCCGGCGTCATGTAAGCACATCAATGCCTTTTGTTTTCCATATTTAAGAATATTTTCTCAGCAGCACAGTGGAAGGAAAAGATTGCTGTCAACTGCATTTCTTTCTTTAATGTGAAAGAGCTGAAATGCTGAGAGTTTCCTAGGACTGTAAAGTCAGTTTGAGAAGCCTTGGGATTAGCCCCAGAAAGTGGGTTAAGATGTAAGCATTTTTTTGTGTAAACTCATAATTAAGATTTTTATAAGTACGCGTTACTTACAAAATGCTAGTTTCCAAGAGTTCAGACATACCAAATCATTTTTTACTTTACAAATACACAGAATGATTTCAAAACTGAAAAAAAGATTCTTCTTTGCCTCGGGCCTGATTTCTAAATAAGGGACTGTTCAGTGCTAGGACCTGGGCTTCAATGTTTGGCAAAATGTTTCCTAGTCCAGGAAGCAAGTTAGACAGTTCAGGAAATACAGGGCAAGAAGAGATAGAAACAGCAAATTAAAAGCATAAGGGTAGGCTTATGATCATTAGGTTCTTCTCAGGTAACTGGTTTTATAAACACTCGCTGGAGTTCCTGTAAAAATCACTGTGCTCCTCAACTTTCCTCATTTATAGGAAATGTACCCTCATGGCTTCTAGAAACCTACATTCTACTGTACAAGCAGGGAGAATTTCCTTTAAGAAGAGGCACTTCTGGTCTTGCTTATGGCTGCTTATCTTCTCTTCAGATGGAGCATTCTTTGCATTTTCCCTAGCATCCTCAAAAGTTACCCTAAGTCTATTTTTAAAAAAACCAAACCTGTTGGATTTTCATACCTTCCAGTAAACCAAGAGCTTTAAATGTTAAATTTTCACTATAGAAAATATAAATTCTTGGGCTGGGGCTGGGGCTCAGTGGTAGAGCACTTGCCTAGCATGTGTGAGGCACTGGGTTCAATTTTCAGCACCGCATATAAGTAAGTAAATAAATAAATAAAAATAAAGGTCCATTGACAACTAAAAAAAAATATTAAAAAAAATATAAATTCTTTGATACGGGATTAAAGCCAAACAGCTATAAACTGTTTAAATTCAATGGACATTTTGGGAACCATTTGGAATAAAATTACTAAGGCGAGAGAAAGGGATAATTGGAGACAGAACACAGGTTTTCTTTGTGGCCTGCAGAATCTACCTTTCTGTTTCTCTGTGGCTATACTGCTGTACGTCATCTTGGATCACAGAAGAGCCCATGTGGCGACATCCCACAGGAGGGAAGGGCAGAAAGCCTAGACAGCACATCTCAGAACTGTGGGGCTCATTCTCGCTCGGCCCCTGGGGACTATTGCTGAGTGCGTATGCTAAATACCTGGCAGACGTGCCATCAGCTCGAATAAGATGATTCTAGCTATGTATTACTTTCAAAAACTCCAAAGCTCTCACCAATCTCTCCCTGAAGCTTCTAAACCAAATAAAGAGCAGGGGAGAAAGTCTTCTGACAAATATCAGGTTAATTCTTTTGATAAAAACTTGCAGTAGTTAATGGATACAAACAGTCTTTACCTTTGCTTCTGAGATAGTATGGTTTAGCAAAAGCTAGATCATAAAGCAGAACAGATTCCCTTAAGAACCTTTTAAAGTCTTACTGCTTGAAAAATCGCCATGGCTTTCAATTTGCTGAGAGAAAAATTTATCTTGCTGCTAGTTTAAGAAGCTACAATTCAAACTCTTCTTAGAGAAAAATAAAAAGAGAAAGAGGACAGACTTCTAGGATTGCTTTGAAAAGCTGAGCAATTACTTCAAAGGAAAGAAGGTCTTTGTCCCCAGAGCAGGTTTATGACTACTGATGCAAATCCTAACCAAAGGCTGAAAAGGATACTCAGTGCATCTTTATGGATGGCCTTAGAGAAAGATGAACAAGTCAAATGAGATTAAACAGTCCCAATGCTGCCAAACACACAGGACACATCAGTTTTTACAGACATGCTTTTCTCAGTACAGAATGCTGAATATCAGTATTAATTTCTCGATGCTATTTAACAACCCAACTTGCTATAAACAGCACAAGAGCTCTTTTAACATTCATCCTATACCCATGTTTTAAAATATTAGCTGGACTATTTTAACACCACTGGGCACAGTAGCACCGGTTTTATTAAGTGTATTTCTTTGGTGCTGCTGTAACACGAAGCATGTTTCTCTACCTCGAAGACTCTGAACCACTTAAAATTTTATACCTGAAAGAAGAGAAGGGAAAACAGTAATTGTTCTAGTATCCTGCTCATAAATATCCAATGTGGAAAATATTTCTGAAGGCCTATCTCCATTAAAGCAAAATGGGCATTCAGAATCCAGGTGAAAATAGACTGGACATGTATTTCTGGTAAACATTTAAATTACTTTAAAAAGTATTGGATAAAGTACTTGCTATTTTTGGCATTATCTCCTCAATCTTGTGAAAATTAAGTCACTTTGAAATGCACAGTAAAGATCTCATTAGTGACTTAAAATGTTATTAGCAGAGTAATTCCCTTGAATTCATTCACTATTTCTTCAATAGCATCAATTATGAAATGGGGTGGGTTCAACATTTTCCTACTCTAAGTTTTATACAAATGAA